TGACTTAGTGCCTGGAATTTACCAGCCACCAGCAATTACTCCCTTACAAGACCATAAGATATCTGGGTACCAAGAATTCCCAGATGGCCACCCTCCCCAGGGGGCTCATGAAGGAAACAGATTGCCCCATTGGCCAATGTGTCAATCATTAACAATTAAGGGTCCCTGTGAAACAAAGAGATAGCTACCATTCGTTAGCACATCCTGAGGTCTGCAAGTTTTACAACTGGTGGGGTCAGGAGGCTATCTGATTCCCAGGCCTCCCCTCAAGACAAAGGGCTTCCTAGGAACCCATGACTCTGGTCAGGTATTCAACAGACAGAGAGTCAAGGCCCCTCCCTAAGCTTATGGGTTTTGCCTTTAAAAACGCCTGTGCCTGGGTGATGGGCTGCTCTCTAGCCTGCATGCTGAGAGAGCCCATTTGTACAAACATCTACCTTTCATTAAAGCCTCTTGCTGTTTGCAAGTTTCTGCCTCCTCCCTGGTGGTTGGGGTGGCTGCAGTCCTGGGAAAAGATTCTGGAGGCCTGAGCTTCCGGGGTCTTATAATCTTTAAAACCTTGTACTATTTAAATTGTTTCTTGCAATTTTTGATTTGTCTTTTCTTCCATTTCTTTAAAGGATTTTCTCATTTCCCCTCTTAGGGACTCTATCATCTTCATGAAGTTGTTTTTAAGGTCATTCTCTTCTGCTCCATCTGTGTTGGGATGTTCAGGTCTTGCTGGTGTAGACTTCCTAGACTCTGGTGGCATCATATTGTTTTTCTGTTGTTGAATGTGTTCTTATATTGTTGTCTTCCCATCCCTTCTTCCAGTGGGTGCAGGTGATGTCTCTTCCTCTCCTGGTGTGTACGGGTCCAAGGTTCTCTTCTGGTGCATGTAAACAGGTCCAATACACTGATGGGTCTCACTGTGGGTGTAGGCAGGTCTGAGGCACTCCCTTTCCTAGTGGGAGGAAGTGGGACTAGCACAGAGATGTCAGCAGATTCTAGGTTACTTGGTCCGCCAGGGTCAAGTCGACCTGCCTGCAGTCGCCAGGCCAAGTGATCCCCAAGGGACAATTTTCTAGAGAGAAAATAGAAACAAATAAAAACTTCTTACCATTACCACTTTTATGTAAATTAGTTCCTTCAACACTCACCTCAGCCTAATATGTTCACTCTTTAGGCAGACAAAGGTAGAAATGAATGAGCATTCCCCAGATAAAAAGGTTATGGCCATTGTGATGACTATTCTTTGTTGTCAACTTGACTTTATCTGGAATGGACTACAATCCAGAATTGGAGGGCACACCTGTAAAAGATTTTCTGCTTGGTTTGAAGTGGGTGTTGGGGGCCAGGAAATATCATTAAGAAATATCTCGAGGTACAAACCTCCAGTTCAGCTTCAGTCTACAATTGTATTGCAGATGTGAGCTAATCTGCTATTGAATACCATGACCTCAGTGGAATATGTCCCCTAGTTTGCATCTCTACAAGGACTAAGCATTTGAATAGGCCTGCACCTGGGTGGAGGGCTAGGTGTGTAACAAGTGAGAGGACAGAGAGAGTTAGGAGCCTTCTAGCAGAGAGGGGTCCACTGGAGGAGAGAAATGACCTCATGGCCATGGAAGCATGGTTAGAAAACAGCCAAGAAGATGCTGAATAAACAAGAGACTCCAGTTTTGCAACACGGAACTGAGAGCTCTCTAAAGATGACAAGATGCCTGTGTTTGGTCTTTATCATCAATGTTGGGTTGCTAGGAATTTCCAAGACCATCCTCCCCTACTCAGGCCAAACCTCATGGCTATCATGGCTTGGGGCTGTGACATGCTGGGCCACGACAAGTGCGTGAATCCATTTCTAGTTTAGACCTTTGAGGTAGGAAGTCACATCTCTGATCTGGATCTTGAGATGGGAAGACACACCTTTAATGTGGGCCATTCCTTCTGTTGGAAGCCTATATAAGGACTGGGGGAAAAGGAAGGGTTCCTTCTTCACTTGTTTGCCCTTGTCTTGTCAGCACATTCATTTCTTCACTGGCATTCAATCCTACTTCTTCTGGGTTCCAGCATATACAGAAGACCAGCGGAGTCAGACTCCCAGCCTCTTGGGACTGAGCAACTACTAGATTCTTGAACTTTCCATTGACAGCTAGCCATTGTTGGATTAGTTGGACTGCAGCCTATAAGTCCTTCCAGTAAATCCCATATATATATATATATATATATATATATATATATATATATATATATAAAAGAGAGAGAGAGAGAGAGAGAGAGATTTTATATATTTTTTGTCTACCAATCAAAAGTTAGCTGGTGGTGCTATTCTTTATGGCTCTGGGTGTGCTTTACAGACAAGTGCACAGCGATGATGCAAGAACATAGCAACCACCCTGGGAGGGCCTATGGGCCATAGCAACCAATTGGCCAATTAACACAGGGCAAGCTCTCCAAGCCTGGAGGCACACAAATCCTAAGCCTATGTGTACCCCTGGACACTCCCCTTACGCTGCCCTACAAGATTGCTCAGCAGCCAGTTCGAGGTGTCTTTTCTAGCCATCCGCCATGGCGGGTGGGTGAAAGACCCGAGCTAACGTGGGGTTAGCTCGTTAAAAAACAATAAAGCCTCATGCAGTTTGCATCAAGCCCTTGAATCTTCCTGGTGATTGGGGTGACCGAGGTCGTGGCCTGGGACCCCCATTCCTGAGTTTTTCTGGGGGTCTAACATAACCTCTGCAAATGACTCTGTCCACTAAAGTGGTGTGAGAATGTGTGCATATGGTAGGATGTATCAACATATATATCCACACAATTTGATTATGAGTGTGTCTGGGTGCAAGTTTTGGTTTATTTATATTTCAGTAGACATATATGCTCCTAATTGCCAGTGTCAGTGTTTTTAATCAGTCCCCAAAGTATGACCCCCCAAAGATAGTAAGACTGTGACACTGACTGGTCACTGTAAGGGCAGGGCCCGTGTCCTCTTCATTAGATGATCCTTACATGGCTTATCTTTTTCTTAGTTCCCATAACTATCTGATGAATATCTCCTAGGTTAGAATTGCATTCAGACAAGAAGAGGCTCCATTCTGAAACTTCCCATCCTTTTGAGCTCAATACTAGCCCAAGCATCAGTGCAGGTTCTGGTCCAAGATCAGGAGGATGAAAGTGTGGTGGAGAAGGCAGTGTGTAGTTGCCCATTTGTCTTTTCTGTTGTCACAGATTCTGAATAGGGTTCTCTGGGCCCTGCTAGGATTCATGTGTTCCTCAATTTTGACCTAACTCTTTTGTCTTCAGGTGTAAGACCCCTGAAAAGCTCAGGCTTCCAGGATCTTAGCCCAGGACCGAGGGAGTCGAAAGCTTGATGCAAACTGCATGAGGCTTTGTTGTTGTTTAACGAGCTAACCCCATGTTAGTTCCGTCTTTCAACCACCTGCCATGGCAGATGGCTAGCAAAGACACTGCGAAGCCACTGCATAGAGATCTTATAGGGCAGCGTAAGAGGAGTGTCTAGGGGTACGCACAGGCTCAGGATTTGTGTGCCTCCAGGCTTGGAGGGTTTGCCCTGGGTTCAATTGTCAACTGGTTGTTATGTCCCATAGGCCCTCCCAGGGTGGTTGCTATGCGTCATTGCTGTGTGCTTGTCCATAAAGCACTCCCAGAGCCGTAAAGCATACCACCACCAACTAACTTCTGATTTGTTCCTTGCCACGAGGCAGGTACCTAACCTCTAGTGACCAAGGCAAGGTCATGGCAAGCACATGTTACTGTCATGGCTGCTGAAAGGGGCAGGCATCTGACCTTAGTGACTAATACAAGGTCAGACAAAAACGTGTTTGGCTGTTATGGCTGCCGAAATGGGAAGCTGATCCCTTCACAGGGACTCAGTACTTGGCCCTTGTGCATGTGTTCAGAGAGTGTTTCATAGTGATGACATCTAGTTAGTGAATACCACAAAAGAACAAGGGACAAAAGGTATGTCATTTTGTAAGACCCCCGGAAGCTCAGGCTTCCAGGATCTCAGCCCAGGACCGAGGCCACCCCAATCACCATGCGGAATTGAAAGCTTGATGAAAACTGCATGAGGCTTTATTATAGTTGTTTAATGAGCTAACCCCATGCTAACTCGGGCCTTCCATCCATCCACCATGGTGGATGGCTTGGAAAGACAGCTCGAAGAGTCTTTGTAGAGATCTTATCGGGCAGCATAAGGGGAGTGTCTAGGGGTTTGCACAGGCTCAGGATTGGTGTGCCTCCAGGCTTGGAGGGTTTGCCCTGTGTTGATTGGTCAACTGGTTGTTATGTCCCATAGGCCCTCCCAGGGTGATTGCTATGCTCTGTGCATCATTGCTGTGTGCTTGTCCATAAAGCACACCCAGAGCCATAAAGCATAGCACCACCAGCTAACTTCTGATTGGTTCCTTGCCACGAGGCAGGCATCTGACCTTAGTGACTAAGACAAGGTCAGACAAGCATGAGTTTGGCTGTTATGGTTGCTGAAATGGGGAGCTGGTCCCTTCAATTTTAGGACTCAAAACCTTTTCATCCTGTGTCTAAGTCACTGCATGAATGTGCTGTCTGTATTTAAATTATTTAAGTAAATAAAGTAATACACTCAGAAACTTGTCTTCCTAAGCCACTTTTCAAGTATCCAGTAGTGATGTATTTATAATGCAGAGAACACTCCCATCTTCTTATGGGATGCTCCTTGAAAACTGACCAGAGTGCTGTTCACTTAGTTTACATGCCTTACTATACATGTATGCATCAAAATAAGAATTCAGATTCATACATTAGAAGTGGTATCGTGGGTCGGTGGGAGTGACATCTAGACATGTGACTCCTTGAGCTCTCTCATTTGAAATGATCAACTTGTAATTGAAAGCACTGAGTTTCACAGAGTTCAGGAAGGGTCCGAGAAGCAAGAAAGAATAGTGAGGAGATGCAGCATAACCTTAAGGGATACAGGGAGAAAGAAGGTGTTGGTATTTGCTAACTCATTTTTTGTGTTCTTGAAGACTGCCCATGGAGACCTTTGCAGACTCTAAAGTAAGAAGACTCACCTATCAGGTGAGTAGTAACATACAAGAATATACCCAGTAAGAGCTTTTTAGTGGAACTGTTGGTTACACTTGCAACTTTGGAGTCTCAGGCCTGCCAGGGACATGTCCCTTCTAGTCCATCCAGGAATCAGTGCAATCTCCACTGGTTCCATGTGTGTCTCCAACCCCTTCCCTCACTTGAAAGTAAAGGGAGTTGGACAGGTGAGGTCATCTCTCATCTTCATCACCTCTAACAGGTCAGAAAATGCAGGGAATTGGTGTGAGAATTAACTATTTCCCAGTTACATTAGATAACCCATGCCATCAAGCAATCATTCATTGAGTCAGTTGTCATAACCCTGACCATGATCCCAGGCCCATGGCAAGTGCCGCTTCTACCTTAGTTGTGGGGGACTGAATATCTCTGTTATGGAATATTTTGGGTCCCAGGCTCTGGCTGTCATAAACAGCCGTGGCGCCAGGAAGCTCCGGGTCACCATTGTATTGTTAATTAACACTAGGCTGTTACTATTTAATATGGCCTAAGATGATATGCCTCTTATTTGCATCTGTATGTGCCTAAGCATCTGAATAGGCCCTCACCTGGGTGGAGGAGCTGGAAGTATGAGTAACTTGGGAGAACAGAGAGTGAGGAGTTAAGAGGCTCGCTGCCAGAGCAGCAAGGGGACAAAGAGAGAAATGGTTGCCTTGTGGTATTGGCAGGGTGGTTGAGAAGCACCAGAAAAGATGGATAATAAAGAAATGACTCTAGTCCCACAACATGGAACTGAGAGCTTTCTGAAGATGACAAGATGCCTGTGTTTGGTCTTTATCGCCATTGGGTTGCTCGGAGCTTCGAGGTCCACATACCCCCACTCAGGTAGAACCTCATGGACTAAAGCTGAGACAAGCCGGGTCACGACACTTAGTAAAGGATCCATTAGTTTTTCAGAGAAAAGGAGTTTTTTTTTAATGTTTCTTCCCGGCTCTTTTGTGTATGTACTGATATAACATTTATGATTTATTAAAGCTTGCCTGTGGGTTCAGAATGCAAAGCTAGCCAAAAGCCATAGAACCAGGCAGTGGTGGCATACACCTTTAATCCCAGTACTTGGGAGACAGAGGCAGACTGACCTTTGTTAGTTCAAGGCCAGAGTGAGCTACATGAAAGTGATCCGGTCTAAAAGAGAAAATATCTATCTCTGGGTTTTTATTTTTCATGTTACAGTTTTGTTGGGGAATAATATGGCAATTACAGGACAGCATGGAGAAATGAGATGGGAATTATTAATGAGAAATGGACTGCAAAATCGAGAGTCAGAGAAGAAAGGAAGCCAGAATCAGCAGTGGATGTTCTGGAGGCGGTGGTGGCTGTTGCAGGAAGATGGTGGCATGGGCACCCTATTGTGGCCTCACTTATGGAGTTCGAGGGCAGTGAAAGTATGATGCTGGTGAACATGCTTTCCTAATACTTGTATAAATTCTAGATTAGGGAAAATCTAAAATATTTCTCTACTAGTGAATCCCACCATCACACGTGATGAAAACAGCTTCATTGGCAATCTTCTAGTCATTTTGTTTGAACCAGAAGATCCAGATGATGGATGGTAAGTGGATTTTTTTTATTGATATGGCCCAATGTGTTTGAATTGCTGCAAAGATTAGTGTGTGTGAGTGTGCACACGTGTGTGTGTGTGTGTGTGTGTGTGTGTGTGTGTGTGTGAGAGAGAGAGAGAGAGAGAGAGAGAATTAGCCTGTAGAGTTAACAGAACTTAGGAACTTTCAGCAATAATATTGAGCATTGTTATGTGATTTACTGTGAATGCTGATGAATGTCTGATTTCTCCAGTCTTTTCTGTATTTCAGAAAATAGAATTATTTGTCACAATGAAAGTTAGGTGTTAAATGTGGCTTGTTTCACTTAGTGTCATAGCATTTGGCTCAGTGAGAGACAAGCATCAATCTGTTTTTAATGTCCACACTGTGGTGCCAACGTGTTTTTACTGTCTCCTCTGAACATGCCACATGCCAGCCTCAGGTAAGATCAGGCGCCCACTATTAGTCCTTTGATTAATACTGGTTGTGATAGTTGTAAAGTTGTGATGTGCTAAGGCTTAGCAATGTTGTTTCATATGTGTGAATGTTTTAACATTTACACAGATTAAAGTATTCATCCATGGGGCCCCTAGCCACCACTGCTCTGGGTGAATTTTTCCTATGTCTGTGTCTATCTGGGACAGTTCTGTCCTTCTATCTTAATTATTGCCGCACAATCTCTCAGAGACCTTTTTGAAGCCACTCACACCTTGATTTGATTTAAACTGGGTTGAAGTATAGATCCGAATGAGAAAGCCTCACATCTAAATACAGGGACCACAGTTGCCAGTTTCTTTACTACATTCTATAAATAAGCACAGAAGCTTCGTTTTTCAAAATGGATCTGGTTTTACATATTGAAAAAGGTCCACTCCCCACAGACGACGACTCCTCCCTGAGGCAGTTGTCATGCCCTTTTCAGGCCTGAAAGTCCACATGGGGCCATTGGCCCTGGTAGCAAACACAGTGGAGTTTTTGCACACTATGGTTCAGCCTAGCACTAGTGCTGGGGCCCAAGCAGGTTCAGACTCACCCACGCCCCTGAGGAATCCCTGTACACTCGTCATTGTTGCCCTGTCCCTTACACATCTCAATACCTAGGCTATTGTGCAACCTGAGCCATAAGGTGGTGGTCATTGTGGCAGCTTCAGTTCCTGGCACCTCTGTTCTGAGAATGCTAGGAGAAGAACACCATGTCCTTCTGGCACCCAGGTACTTGTGGAGTCATGGAACTATAGGAGCCACTGGATGAGATATGTGGGGAGGGAAACAGGGACAGAAGCTCTGGAATGCATCAGTAGGTCTTCCAGGCTCGAGTCCCAGGGCACAGGAATGAGGTTCCTGGGAGCTGGGCTAGATGCTCAGTTGCCCATTAATCCTGGTCCTCCAGCCCCACATTCAGAGAGTCGCAGAGATAAAGGCTAGCCTGGCACCTTTCTGGCCTCCAAGGACCAAACCATCTCACTGCCTCCCAGTTGTAGCAAGCTGGGACTCAACAGAAGACTGGGACCTTGAGGGGGAACATGGAGATGCAAGCACCCCCTGCCCGTCGTCTTCCTCATTCCAAACCTACCATGGGGACCTTCCAAGAAGACTCTGACCCAAGAGGCCTTCAGTGACTTGGGGCCCTGTTGTCCTGTTCTCTTACAGAAGGTGGGAGATGCAGAACCAAATTCATGCCTGTGCTGCCCTCTGCTGCTCTGTCTGAAATCTGCTACCATGTAATTTGCTGTTGCCTGTGGCTGGCCAGTGCTGCCTTCAGTGACACAGGACTGACTTTCCAGGACAGAGAGCTATGTCCTCAGTCTGTCCCCCAGCATTCAGTGCTCTGTCCACTTAGATGTCTGGTAAAGATTTCTGGTCTTCAATGCACAGAGATAAAATTCTTGAGAACTCTACGTGTGCTGGCCACCAGGGCCAGCTGGGTGGAATGAGGTCAGGGCTGAGTGAAAGAGGGACCCTATGTTCGAGGAGTTTAGAAGAGAGACAAAGTTCTTCCTGCAGAACAGTGAGACATGCATAGACAAGGAGAAAAGGAATAGGTTTTGGAGGATATAGTGGAAGAGGCTGGCATAGAATGAGGACATTTCAGTTGGTGAATGACATGCAAAAGGCCAAAATGAGCCACTGCCAGCATGGCATGGCGGCGAGAAGCCTGTGACTGTCAGGCTAAGGAAGTTGAGCTTTGTGGTGATGGTAATGGGAAGCCCCAAAATGATGTAGATCAGGGGTGACCCAGAATGTGGAAGAATGAAGAACAGCTTCCCATGTAAAATCTACTTACTGATCATCCTAATGGGGCGGCAGGAGGTGGGGGGGATGCCATAGATGTGAATATCACCAGCTCTAACCTTAGCCATCCTTCCCAGTACCTTGTATACTCCCTTTACTCCCTTGGAGACATTTCTGGGCTTTATTGGTGTCCTTTCCAAGACCTTGACACTAAACATTTTCAAATATTTCAAACAGTTTATTGAGACAAAAGTTCAAAGCTCTATTGTATCTTTGTAGACATAAACCCTTCTTATATTCCACTACACCCTCTCTCCCTTAAAGCATTTCTCTGTAGATGGAATCTTTTTTATGGGACCACTGGCTCCCCAGTAACCACACAGAGATGTATTGTTAATTAGAAATGTTCCGCTGATAGCTTAGGCTTGTTACTAACTAACTCTTTCAACTTAAAAAAAAAAAAAAACATATTTCTTATCCGCACCCTATCATGTTGTGGTACATTTTTCAGCATGGCACATTTATCTCCTGCTTTCTCTGTGCCTGGCTGGCAGTCCCACCTTTCTTCTCCCTAATGTTCTTTCCAATATAGAACAGGGGTGAGCCAGGATGTGGAATAATGAGGACCTAACCACGACTTTCTAACAAAGCCAGAAGGAGAAAACCAAGCTCAAAAATGAAGACTCAGCCAACAGAAATTGTCAGAAGTAGGTACCTCCGCCTCCAAGAGTGCCAGAGACACAGAGGAAGCATTTATATTGACCAAGAGAGATCATTTCCCATTACCGGTGTTAGATGGAGTGCCAGGTGTTTAATGGGCCAGAAAGTGGATTTGTTGTGGAGAACAGGAGATAAGGGATAACACTCCTACATGGCTTAGATCCCCATACAGGCACCAGGAGAATCTTGGCACCAATGTTAACGATTAATGCATGGGAACCAATGTTAGGGTTTAGCAGGGGAAGGTACCTTGGCAGGTTGGGGCCAAGGTATTCAGCTCAAAGATCATACCATGCCACAGATCTCATATAAGAGGTTTATTGGGTAAAGAGGAGTCAAAGGCCATCTTGGAGTGGAACACGAGAGAGATAGAGACAGACAGATGACAGACAGACAGGAAGATAGAGAAACCAGAAAATAGAGAGCCATAATGTTGGGAGAGACCTTCTAAAGTGTGTGTGTGTGTGTGTGTGTGTGTGTGTGTGTGTGTGTGTGTGTGTGTCATAGGAAAGTACAAAACTTGTAGGGACAATAGAAATGTGCCACACCTGACAGTGGCAGGTGATGACATGTCTGGTGTCTGCTGGCACTGAGTCCCTGAAGGGCAGGTGGATGGAGCACCTGATTTCTAACATCTGGGGTCCACATATGAGAATATGTAGCATTTGCCTCTCTCAGCATATGAGGGAGAGCATAGCCAGAGGCACAGATATCTGGGAGAGTCCAGAGTGGATATGACCAACACACTGAGCCAAGCCATGTGAAGAGAAGGGGGAGGGGAGAGGAAGAGAAGGGAACCAGGAGCAGCAGCCAAGTGGGCAAGAGACCAAAAGGCAAAAAAAGGGGGGTATAACCAAAATGGCTGGGGTTAGTAGGGAAGAACAGCTGGGAAAGTGCAACCGAGCCTCTGACTGGAAAAGTTTAGGATCAGGGGTATAAGCCAACCAGGAAGACTCAGTAACAGGTAGAGATTGAGGAAGACTGGCTGGCTAGAGTCTGCTTTGATATGTTAGTAAACTCCTAGGTTAGATCTTGGTCCTAGGTTTGAGACCTAACAATTTCCAGTTTCATTAATTTCATTATTTCAAATTAATTATTTCAAATTTCATTATTTCATCTTATTTTTCTTTCTTTATTTCTCTTTGTTTTTCTTATTTGTTTGTTTTGCTTTGTCTTGTTGAGTTTTGTTTTTAGATACAGGGTTTCTCTGTGTAGCTCTGGCTGCCCTGAAATTCATTCTGTAGACCAGGCTGGTCTCAAACTCAGAGATCCATCTGCCTCTGCCTCCTGAGTGCTGGGGTCAAAGGCATATGCAACCACACACAGTACAGATGAATAAAATTCCATCCTGTCTGTGTCCACATTGTTCTTATCCACTCATCAGTCTGTCTATGGACATCTAGGTTAATTCCATTTTCTAGCTTTTGTGAGCAGAGCAGCAATGAATAGGGATATGTAGGTATCTCTGTAGTAGAATATAAAGTCCTTGTGGTATATGTCCAGTAGTGGTATAGCCGGGTCATATGGTAGTTTTTTTTCTAGAAGAGGGCTTTTTTGTTTAAAACAAAATATGCCTGTGTTCTTTATACATTCCAGACACTGACCCTCTGTTGCATTGTGTAGATGGCAAAGATTTTCTCCCATTCTATTTACTACCTTTTACTAGGTTGACAGTTTCCTTTGCTATATAGATCCTTTACCATTTGGTGAAATCCTATTTACTCCAGAAGTCTTATTCTGAAACTCCCTCCTCATTGCGCCTTTGACTTTCTCTAGTCAAAGTTTACTCTTGACTTTCCTCTAGCACTTTCAGAGTTTCAGGACTCCATCTACGGTAAGTTAGTTTCTGTGGGGGATGAGAGTTAAGCCTTTAGTCTCATTCTTTTACACATTGAAATAAAGTTTTCCCAGTTAATCAAAACTAATAATGTATAAAAAAAACTTAATGGAAACCCATTTGTTTGTAAGCTAATTACATATACATTTTTTAAAGGAGATTGACTGGAGGTACCCTGCATGGTTCCCTCCCATGGTTCTCTTTGAAGACAGGTGGTATTAAATGAAAATCTCAGTGCCAGGTGGGGGATACTACCCTATGAGTTATTGCTCATGGTAGACCCAGAGCTCCCCCAAACAACATGGCTATTTCCATGGCTCATGGTATCATAACTAGATAGGAAGGCCTATTGCTAAAGACGCCTCACACTTCAGTTGCAGAATGTAGAGAAACAAAGTTTTAACTAAAAATGTTCCTCCCTGCTAGCTAGCTTTCTTGGTGTCAGAAAGAAGGTGCCATGCAGGCCACTGGGGAAGAAAAATATATCAGTAGTCTTATTCATCAATGGAACTTGCATTCTATAATACTGATTTGTCAGGCAAGACAAACACACTGGTGCAATAATGGCATGAAGTTAACCAACGAGTTTCTGATTGGATTCAAGACCTGCTCACAGCAAGGAATTCTTGCTTGGTACAGTAAGCCTGATCTCATGATTCAGGAGGTCATAGATCCTGATGGGAACAAAGCCATAGCTAAAGAGCTATTGATGGTTACTGGGAAAGAGAGTCGGTGTTTTCAGGGATACACCCCCTGAGAAGCTATAACTTATTGTCCTAAATCTATCCACATACAGGCAATAATAAGCAGCACATGACATGTGTCCCCTTTAGTGTTGCTGAAGGCACAGAGATAAATTGTTTACCTAGATCTATTCTCTTGCAACACCTTAGGTTCCTGGATCAGCAGGGATTTCCTGAGGCTAATCATTCACCAAGCTTTGTCCTGGGAGAGTGACCACCTTGTGGGAAACAGGCTGATCCCCTACAGACAGTGATCAAGGAGCCCACACCTCCACTAAGACTTCTGAATCCTGCATCTATCTGGTCTACCCCAGCTCTTCCTCTATTTGGAACTACAGCTCACGTCAACACCTTGAAATTAGCTTGGGTTCACTGCCTGCTTTATCTCTTCTACTCTTTGCCTTTCAACACTTCGATCTCTTTGACTGGAATACTAGGGATGAGTGGCGAGCCAAATCTGTTGGAACCACTGCCCCAGGCTTTAGACCTAAAACTCTGACTTTACACAATCTCTTGTCATCTGGTCTCCTCAGTGCACAGAGATGTGCTCTTGAAGTTCCTCTATCCATCAATGTCTGACTCTTGCAGAAAACTCACAGGAGGGAAGACTAGAGTTGGTGCCACACTCAGAGCCTGGATGAACTTGTGTCCCCGCCATTGTCCCTTTTTATGGTTGATTCATTCCTGCAGAAACCATTCACTAGTTTTCTAAAGTTTCCCATAGCCTCACCTTGACACTCAAATATGAGTAAGGCTTTTAAGGTATAACATATGGCCCTTCTTTGCATTTCACAGTCTGACATTCCACTGTGTTAATGTATTAGTCTGCCTTTCTGCTGTTGACCTTTCTACTGTCAGCTTGCTTTTGTAGACTCAAGTTATTGAACATTTGGAGGGTGGAAAGTTCCTTATCCTTACATAGCTATCAGAGTTTCCCCTTAGAGACAATAGAGTTGAGTTTAGTGTCAACACTATTCTGTCACCCATGATAAATGCCATGGACACTTCATACTTGGATTTGATAAGATTCTGCCCAGGTAGAATGCTCTCCATTAGCAGCAGGAAACATCACAGAGCTATGGGATGCCATTGAATGAGAATCCTAAGGCCACACAAATACAAAAATGGAAATAGACACAGTGAATAGTAAATAAATAGAAACTGGAAATGTTCCAAACGCTTGGATATAACTAAGTCCTTTTCCTAGTTGCTAGAAATGATCACATCTTCAGAATTGTCTAGATCTGAATAACTACTGACAGATTTAGTCAAATGTGTAAATACTCCTCAGGAGCCCCTGGGTCAAAGGACTTAAGACATTTTCTTAGTCAAGACTAAGATTTCATCCCCACCCCCCACCCTCATCTGCACTGAGTTTTGAATTTGATTTAGAGAAAACAACTTCCTTTTGTATATCAAAGAAAAGTAGCATAATTTTAAATATGATTGTTTCTCAATGAACCTATACTGCTGAAAATGGCACACGAAGAAAATAAGCATGTTTTTACTGTCACTGCATACGGCTTGTGAATTTGCAGCAACACTAAAAACTCATTCCAGGAACAGAACTCAAAAGACAAATGCCTCTTTCAGGATGAGCATTCTTCTTTTAGTGTTAGATACTAGAATTCTATGCAGTGATGGATGGGGGACATTTTTCTCTTATAGCCTAAAGGGTAAAATTCTCCAGAGTCCTCCTAATCATTCTCTTTTTTTTCCCCAAAGAAATTCATTGCAAGCTAGTACATTTATTATTCTCTTGAATATACTTGGCCGCCAATTACAAGAAAATGTATTATAAAAATGATTGCTTTCGTCCTCATTAACTAACTATTAGGAGGAAAATGATAGTAATCATTCATCATTTTATTAATTCTATAACAGCATTTCTAATGGATCCCCTCATTGAGTTACAGATAGGAAAGCATTTCCCTCCTTATTTTCTAGTGAATTAGGCAGCACTTGAACACAAAGGATTCTCCCACTACAGCACAGCACAGTATTTCCACTGAAAAAGGAGCCGCTTCAGCATCTGGGAGGAAAATTAAACCTAGCCTTCCTGTGGTTCCCTCTCACAGGCTTTGTAGAAGACTTAATTGAGCCTGGCACTCCCTCCTGGCTTTCTGACACAAAGCTCACTGTTTATTCCTTTTTTGAGTGATTGCAAGGAAGCAATCAGATTAGGAAGCATCCTGCAGGTTATGTGCCATAAGTGTGAAAGGAAAGAAAAATACTCTCAGACATCTGCCTAAACCTATAAGACTGGACAGGGCCTATGAGGAGACTGGCACCTGGTCCTAGTACAAATGGAATCTGTCTCCCCACTCCTATTCATCATCTGTTGCTATAGCACAGTCTCAGTATTTACTATTATATATACATATGTGTCATACGTATGTGTTCATGTATACAGTGTTTACCTGGGAGCTTAACTTACGGTCACTCCTCTTCATATTACTGACTGACACTTGCTTCAGGGCTCATACATCATGGTTGAGTTTATGACTACAGTCTGTTTTCATCCTCATTGATAACTTGGGAGTGGACTAACACCAGGGTGCTCTAGCAGGTCTGAAAGGAATAGGGATATATTTTGCTAAGTTATCAGCTGCCTTTTAAATTCGGTAGTGGTGAGCCAGCTCTACCCAGATCAATATAATCTAGTCACTGCGTGCCATGTGAGCACAAAGAACACCGGCTATACAGATGAACTGCTCTTCCATCTCAGACCCATGCTGGGAGAACGATTGCTAATGTGACTGGAAAGACATGATGGGAAGAAGGTTGCAACCAGGAAGAAGTTTGGAGGTTGCTTGGGATATGAATTGGTTAAAAGTGAGGTTAATTGTGAACAAGTGGGACTGTTAGGATAAATTCAATGGGCAACATCAGATTTACTCTGAGAGGACTGTCACACGTAACTTGGGTGGGGCTCAGAAGCCCAGGATCTCCTTAAGGACTGAGGTCACCCACCTGCCTGCACCACCACAGTTTCCCACAGAAAGTGCTTGAAGACAGTGGAGAAAGTGCATCTCTAATAAGTTCTGAGATACTATTGATGTGGGTGGGACAGGAGCCATACCCTGAGAAGCCCTAAGAATATGAATACGTTATTAGAATACAAGGCCTAATGGAGCAGAGGAGATGGTGCAGCAGTTGCTGCTCTTGTAGAGGTATCTGATTTGATTCCCAACACCCACATGGTGGCTCACAACCACCAGTAACCCCCAGTTCCAGGGACACAGCAACCTCTTCTCTACTCCACAGGCATCAGACGTGCACATGGGGCACATACACACATGAAAGCAAAATATTCATATACATAAAATAAAAATAATTTTTAAGAGAATAGACATCTGAAAAGATGAATGAAGCCTGATTGTAAATGGCTTTGAAAGGAGTTTGTGGTTTATTGTTTAGGTTCTGAAAATTGCTGAAATGTTTTCAATGAAACTGGGGTAGAAGCTGTACTAAAAATACCTTGAAAAAGAAAGGCTTATTGAATATTTTAATGGTATGAAAGTCAAGTCTTTGGTTCCTTTAAAGGGTTGCAAGAGCTGTATTAATGAAGTGGGATGATGCAATCACTCCATTAGCCCGACTTGAAATATCTGTGGTACACAACTCCTTGATATACAGCCAAAGATAGTAAGTACATCCTGCTACACAGATGCTTGCTCAGCTAGAAAATGGAAACAACATAAATGCCCTTCAACTGATGGATGGATATGGTGCGTATACACAATAGAATTCTATTCAACTCTAAAGAAAGAATGAGATTGTGAAGGTTGCAGGTAAATGGGTGGAACTAGAAAACTACACCGAGGCTGGGAGGTGGTGGCACATAACTTTAGTCCCAGTACTTAGGAGGCAGAAGCAGTTGGATCTTTGTGAGTTGGAGGACAGCCTGCTCTACAGAGTGAGCTCCAGGATAGTCAAGGCTGTTACACAGAGAAACCCTGTCTTCAAAAACAAACAAGAAAAGAAAACTACACTGAGTGATGTAACCCAGACCCAGAAAGACAAACATTGCAAGCTCTCCCTTCTTTGCAGATCCTATCTCTAAACCTTTAGATGTGAGCATACAAACTGAAATAACCACAGAAACCAGGAAAGTTAAAACAGCTCATAAGGGGCAGGGAGAAACAGCTCAGGAGAGGAGGCTCTTAGGACACAGGTGCTATGAAGGAGAAAAGAAAATAGAAGGCTCCTTAAATAGGAAAAGGGAGAGGAGGGCCAGACAGAGGGAGGAGGGATAAAGAACATTAAAGATTATTGAAAACACAAGGAGAAATATTAGTTCATATTTTTATTTAAAATGCATATAAATTATATGTGTAATATACTTTACATATAAATGATTCAAGTGAAGTTAAATCACTTGTAGTAATAACACTTCCTCCAAGATTCATAAATACCTAACGAAAACCCCAGTGTCAGCCATGGGAAACCTCCTTTCAAATCATTGGTCAAGGGAGTCCAGGAGACTCCCAAAACAATTGCCTTCATCATTGGTTACCCCCCAGGACTTAAAGTTAAGACCTTATTGTTGAAGACTCCACACACTTCAAAGCTCAGGATTTGGAAGAATCTAGGTGGGACTAACCTGGAAGCCTCTGCCCCAAGAACTAGATAGCTCTTATGTTATAGGAAGATGCTGCTGAAGAAGATAATTAAAAAATGACCAGCATGATATGATACTCCCAAGGGTGATTAGTGATAATTTTATCTGATGGGGTAAATATCAGCTACCTAATTGGATCTAAGGCCAATTCAATAAGAGGGAATTTGAAGACCGAGTGGTAGAGATGGACACACACACACACACAAACACACACACACACACACACACACACACACACACACACACACTTGCCCTGGGGTGGGGTGGAGGTGAGGATGGGGCAGGATGTGAGGGACATGAGCCACCTGGCTCTTAGCAGCATAGGAAGGTCTAGTGCCATTATGGTGAACAAATGGTACAGGAGGGAGAGAGAGGCAGAGAAGTTCATGTCCTGTGGAGAGCAATGGGTCTTAAGAGGTGAAGGCAGTGAGGAACCTGCTGATGTGGGAAACCAGCTTGCTGCCTAGGCCATGCTGCAATGTCAAGTCTGGGTCTGTGGACCTGCCACAACTGCAGTCTGTGTTCCTGTCCATGGCTCTGTTACCACTGAAGGCCGTTAGGATGCCAGGGGCTGCCACATGTGACCACATTGGTGCCCAAGGGTAATGTCACTACAGGGGCCATTCTGAT